TTTGGAACTTTGTCCTGCCAGGTGATACCAAAAATGTGTTGGAGACAACGCATATGGAAGGTATTCAGCTTCCTCTCCTGCCATGCACAGAGGGTCCAGGACTCGCTGCAGTACAGGAGTGTGCTCAGGACACAGGTCTATAGACCTGGATTTTGGTGTATGCAGTCAGCTTCTTATTAAGCCATACTCTCTTTGTGGGTCTAGAGAACATGGTAGCTGCTTTCCCAATGCATTTATCCAGCTCAACATCTAGGGAGAGAGTGTCAGCGATTGTTGAGCCAAGGTACACAAATTCAAATTTGCTCCTCGTAAAATGGAAAAACCAAGAATGTGCTTTATAGTCCACATCAAAAAAATTTATTGCAATGACAGTCTGAATTATAGTCTCTAGTTTTAATATGCTAAACATGATAATTCTATCCCAACCCAGCTATATACTTTATATTCCTGATGTAATAAAGTGACTTTCAATCTGTAAATACAAGAGACTGAAATACAACATATTTTTATGTTGTTATTTTACATCTCTGTTGGCAGTATCTCATTGAAATAAAAGTCCATAGTGTTTGTACTTCTAGCTTAAAAGATGACTATGGCTGTACTAGAGTGCTCTAAATTCAGGCAGTTCTTGTATATTGTTAACAACCTCCTTCTACCAGTGACAGAATATTGCTTCTATCTTGCAGCAGACTCCTAGCAGAGAGGAAATGAATTCAGCCAGTTATGTAGACAAAATGTTATGACAGACAGAAGGTGCATGTCGACAGCATATTTGCCATAAAAGGTAAAGGTTCCCCTTGATAATTTGTCCAGTCGTGTCCGACTCTAGGGCGCGGTGTTCATCTCTGTTTCCAACCCACAGATCTAGCGTTTGTCTGCAGACAATCCTCTGTGGTCACGTGGCCAGCATGACTAGACACGGAATGCTGTTTACCTTCCCACCGATGTGGTACCTATTTATCTAATTGCATTTTTGAATTTTGCATGCTTTCAAACCGCTAGGTTGGTGGGAGCTGGGACAAGTGATGGGGGCTCACTCCGTCATGTGGATTCGATCTTATGACTGCAGGTCTTCTGACCTTGCAGCACAGAGGCTTCAGCGGTTTAACTCACCGCACCACCACGTCCCTATATTTGCCATAATATGATCCAATTTTCAGGTCAAAACTATGGTCAAGATATCTAACATTACTTTGAAATGCCTTGTAGAAAGAAAGGAGCTTAATAATGAATTGAAACAATGATTTTCTTGATTATTAGTGAATAGAAAGTTCTATTGATATGCATCCAACATCTTTTTTGTCCTAAGCAAGAGAGATCAAAAGAGACAGCCAGAAGCAGAAGTCATTCGTTTCAAAAAGGACCACAGGTGGAAACAAGCCCAACAATATATCTGGGAAGAGTTGCCTGGCACCCATCATGCTTGCTTTGGGATTCTGGGAGCTATAGTCCAAAAAACCTGGTTGCTTCATTTCTGTTGAGATCCCCAGAGAGGCACATTGCATCCAAGATGCTTTTCCCCTCCTGCAGCACTCTTGCTCCCTCCCCACAAATGTCTGCCTCATTTCCAAATGTCTTCTGCTTGTACTTCACATTTATTGGCCTTCCGTCAGCTCCGCCCCACATTTAAGAGGGTGTTGCCTCTCTTTCAGATCTGATGGTTATTACTTGACATGCTTCTGGACAATCTGAGCACATGGACATTTTCCTGAGCACCTCCTGTTCAAACATGGGAGAGACCCTATTATCATTTGTCCAATGTGGGAAGGGACGGGGACTGATTTATTTTAAGAACAGGTTCTGTTTCAAATACATTTCAGAAGCTGATGAAATCATGATGGACCAAAGATGGAACCAGGACTCTTGAGTTGTAGATGGAGAAAACACCTGGCTCACAAAAAGCTGGCAGTGCAAACAGTATGGAAAAGTTATTTTTAAAATATAAATCCTAGAATCAACCAGCCAAATCGCTGCTTACTGAGCTGTCCAGTGGGGATGTGCACTAGCACTAATATTCAGATTTGGAATTTGGATTTGGAAGTTGAATGACAGCCCTTTGGATCTGCAATTTTTAAAATTTGGAATTTCCAGGTATAGTGGTGCCTCACTTAATGACGATAATCCATTCCAGGAAAATTGCCGTTAAGCGAAAACACCATAAAGTGAAATTAAAAACCCCACTGAAACCCATTGAAACCCATTCAATGCATTCCAATGGGGTAAAAACTCAGCATCCAGCGAAAATCCTCCATATGGCAGCCATTTTCGCTGCCTGTATAGCGAGGAATCCATCCCTAAGCACAGCAGGAAGCCATTTTAAGCACCCGGTGGCCATTTTGAAAACCCGACGATCAGCTGTTTTTGATCATCGTAAAGCGAAAATCAGTTCCCGAAGCAGGGAATCGATCATTGCTAAGCGAAATTCCCCCATTTAGACCATTGTTTTGCGGTCGCAAAAAGATTGTCGTAAAGCGGATTCGTTGTAATGTGGGGCAATCTTTAAGCAAGGCACCACTGTATCCAGAACTCTATTACAGTCAATATGAATACTATATAGTCTTTATCCCCCCCCTTTAAAAAAAAATACAAACAGGCAAAATATTCTTAAAGAATTTTCCTGTATCCTCTGACACCTTCCCAGTGATTGTTCCAAACAATAAGAGTGCACACCAACAGCAATGCCTAGGAAATGACTGCAATGGACATACTAATTGAACCCTGAACAGCTGGAGTAGCAGCAAGACATGCCAGCAGCTTTGGGAAAGCAGAGAACAGATCATACTGGGGAGTGGGCAAATATGCTGGGCAGCATTGGCAGGCAGACTGGAGCAGCAGATAGCTGGTACTGGGTGGGAAATGTGCCAGCAGCATGGGGCACAGCAGAGCTGAGAGAGAAAGCACAATCTTGGAGTAGAAGTTGGAAGAATGAAAGGGACAGAAGGAGGGGGCAGCAGACTGAAGCATGGCATACCTAGTTCTGTAAGCAGACTGTATCATTCTCTCTCTTACTTAAAGGGGACTTAAGGGAAGCCCAGCAGTGGTAAATTGACCTTAGGGAAAATACATTTTTCTGCATATCCAGGTTCCAGGCATAAGTAGTTTGGATTGACAACATCCCCTGCCCACGAGAACATCTCTCACTGGGCACACTAGTTGATGGGCAACACAGTAGTCCCACAACCACCTTGGCCAGACCTCCCAAAATAGGCTTCTTCTCAATCTGGTAAGACAAGGTGTTAAGGTTTGAAACCCTCTGCATTCAACAGTGTTAAAATGACTGTAGGGGGGGAGGTACAGGGAAAAAGTCCTTAAAGTGAAAGTACTTTAAAAACATGTGGCTTGAAAAAAAAGCACATAATTTTTTTGTGCAATCTGGCATGCAGTGTGGACTGACTGGGTGTAACTCTGGTGAGCTTCCACAGTCATAACTTTACGCTACGCCTATCACATTAATATTTCAGCCACTATTTCAATACTTAAATTTTATATCCAAGCTATTTTGCTGGGAAAGAATCAGCAATGAGGTGAATTTCCTGTACTCAAAGGTAATCATAAATCATAGACTCCAGCCCGAACATGGTTTGATGTTTAGCTTTTGGGGGGGGAATTATAAAGAGATATATTATGAAATTTACAAGCAAGCACCACAGAGGAAAGAAAAATGCATGCCAAAAAATTGTTCAAGCATGTTACTATACTTCTGTCACTGGCTGTTCTTCGCCTTCTTCCTGCAAAAGAGAACATTAAAACCAGTTTTAGAAACAATCTTAAAAAGCAAAAGCAAAGGGCAATATTGCTTTTCTTAAAACAGGACTAGAATTGGTTTAATAGAAAAATCCTATGCATATTAACTCAGAAATCCTGTTATACTCACATCCTGGCTCATTGGGTACAAGATGGCAGCCTAAAGTGAGTTGCAAGTTGTTTTTTAAAACCTGTTCTCCCGCAAGAGATTGAGCTCTCAGCATTATGCACTGGCCAAAATCCTGTTGCTTAGCATAGTAAATCACACTAAAGGAGGCCCATTGAATCAATGGAATTTAGTGAGTCAACTCTTCCATACGTTCCATTGATTCAAAGGGGGCCAATTCTAACGGTGACTTACTATGCTACAGTAAGTCACAACTAGAGTAGACCCATATGAATCAATAGAATATCAACAGAACATATAGAAGAATTGACTCACCAAACCCCAAATGATTCAATGAGCCTCCTTTAGTAGCAGCAGTTCAGCACCTATCTGCCTACTGTCAGGACTCCCCTGAACTTCTTATTGGCAAGCAACAGAAAAGGAAGTGAAGTATAGAAGTATAAATGCAGCATCTGAGAGAGCAATAAGTACTTTTGATTACTTAACCATGGTCATCAACATGCAGCCTGTGACACTTTGCTGCTTGAGTCAAAGGATAAGATGGCAGTCACCCCCATTCTTGGCCCTTCTATCCACGGAAGCTGATTGAACTGGCTGCTGAATCTTCCTTCACTATTGGCAATGGGACAGAATCCTCCCCAACACCTTGGAGCAGAAGAATTAATCAAAAGCTTTAGGACAGTCTTGCGCAGACACAGTTTTGTCCTTAAAGAAGTGAGAATACCTGATTCATATTAGGGCCAATCATAGACTGGGATTACATAGTACCTTTCTCCTGCCTTTATTCTTCTTCTTCCTTTATTGTCCTCTTCTCCAGAACTGCACTGATTCCTGATCTGGAACATTCCCTTTCCCTTTGTTAGCACATATTCAATAAATTTGCCCCATATATCATAAAAATTATTTTTTTAATCTCTCCTTTCTTAACCTTTAAATTACAAGTTAATTTATCATTTATAGCTATGTTCCATATTTCATTATACCATTCTTTCACTTGAAATTCAAGTTTTGATTTCTAATTCCTAGCTATTAATAATCTGGCTGCTGTTCATAAATTGGTAATCAACTCTCTAGTCATCATACATTCCACATTTACGAATATTGATAACAAAGCTATCTCAGGATTAAATTCTATATCTCTGTCACATATATCAGTTAATTCCTTGAAGATTAGTTTCCAAAATCTTTGTACTTTTTCACATTCCCACCACATATGGAAGTAAGTACTAATTTCCTTCTCACACTTCCAAAAGACGTTCAGATAATTAGAGTTAATTTTATTCAATTTTATCGGTGTCAGATATCATCTTAAACTTAGTTTTTACATTTTTTCTTAAATAATTCTAAATAGACTTTCATATTGGCAGGGAAATTCTCTCCTTCAGTCACTAATCCTAATGGAGAGTTAGATGAAGATAGATTTTTTATGGTTATTGTGGGTTTTTCGGGCTCTTTGCCCCTTTCTCAAGATTGTTCTTCCTAATGTTTTGCCAGTCTCTGTGGCACTGCTGTCCTCTGAAGATGCCGGCCACAGAGACTGGCAAAACGTTAGGAAGAACAACCTTCAGAACACGGCCAAAGAGCCTGAAAAACCCACAACAACTATTAGATCCCGGCCGTGAAAGCCTTCGCGAATACATAGATTTTTAAAATACTTATACCACACATTTAACATAGTTTTTAAAAGGGGTTATTGATTTCACTTATTTTATGTTTTTTAATTATACCGAAATGATTTTTCAATATCAACCTGTAGTTCTGATTATTCCATTTTCCACCAAATTAACCTTTACAGGTTATATATTATTTCCTCAATAAACCTCAGCTGATTAGCCATATAGTAATTTTTAGTATTTGGTATACCTGTACAGTTCGAGTTTATTGTATTAGCTAAAAGCCGTCACAATTGTTTAAAATATAGATATGGTCAAATAAAATCATGATAAAATCACAGACATATAACATAATAAGAGACCCTTCATATCTGGGAATCTCCCACACAATTGATCGCAATGGCTTTCAAAAAATTAGCTCGGATATTTCTGGTTGCTTTTGCGAATAGCACTCTTCTATATGTAACATAAGGGTCACAGTCCAAGAGTAACCTGACCACCTTTATCTGAGGGCTTTCTCCTATAGAGCAGCCCAAATGTTACCCAGGAGCTATACCTATATCTCCCTTTTTAATTGTCTTATACCGATACCTTTTATTTATTCTGGCTTTCTTCCCTTCATTACAATATCAATTAATCAGTCCTCGCCAAAATTTAAAATAATCTTCTTTTAATTGTACCTACATCCTAAATAAAAAAATTAATCTTTGGTAAACTCTTCATTTTCATCAGTGCAATCCTTCCAAACCAAAAGAGTTTCAAACTGGAATATTCCTGTAATTTCTTTTTCATATCCCTTTATTATAATTATGCTCTTTTATTTTCTGAATATCCTTTACTAAATCTATACCTAAATATTTAACAGATTTACTTATCCTAGAATCATATTTATCACCAAACTTTTCTTGTTCTAATTTATTATGATTAAACATTATATTAGATTTTTGCCAGTTTACACATATCCATTTATTTTTCCAAATGTTTCTAAATGATGTTTAATTCTATCCATACTTTCTAATGGTTTTTTCATCATCAAAACAGAATCATCAGCAAATAAGTTAATCTTTATTTTGTTATCCTCACCCATGTCACTAATTAAATCATCATTCCTTATTGCATTTGCTAACATTTCAATAATCAAACAAAACAGAATTGGGGAAAAGAGGGCAACCTCATCTAGTGCCTCGGCCTAGAGCTATTTGTTCTGTCATCCCGTCATTAACTATTACTCTGGAAGTGTTCTCCAAATATAGTTGATCTGTTACCCCCATAAATTTATTTCCAAAGCCCCAACCCTTTAAAAGAATCTTTAATGTTGGCCATTCTACACCATAAAATGCCTTAAAATGTCTAATGATAAAATACCTGCCTTTATCTTACCTTTTTCTATATTATATACTGTATAATATTCAAAAACCTCCTAGTTAAGTTCGTCATTTGTTGTTGCTTTAAAAAACATTCTGATCTTCTTTAATATATTTTGTAATTAACTTGTTCATTCTATTTGTTAAAATTGCTGTAAATATCTTTGCATCTAGATTTAATAACGAGATAGGCCTATACAAACTTGGATCGGTCAGATCTCTATTGGGTTTTGGGATAAGAGTTGTTAATGAATATTTCCAAGATTCTGGTATTTTCTCTCCATCCAATATTCCATTACAGAGTATTTTCAACTTGGGGATCAGTATTGATTTAAAAGATTTATAATATTATGATCCCATTCCATCAAAGCCTTGAGTTTTACCATTTTTTAGTTTATTGATAACCTCTGTAATCTCTTCATCGTTTATCTCTTTTTCTAATTCTCTTTTATACCTCTGTAATCTCTTCATCGTTTATCTCTTTTTCTAATTCTCTTTTATCATTCTCCAAAAGTTTACTCTTTACATTTTCTTTAATATAACTTTCTATATCTTCTTTTGGTATATTATTTCCTTTATATAAATTTTGATAAAATTCTTATAATATTAATTTTTCTTTCATCAGGCTGCAATTCTTTCCTGTTTTATCTCTAATCACTTCAATTGTATTTTTAATGTATTTGCGAAGGCTATTTTTTAATCTTTTAGTTTGAGATACCCTGGCAAAAAGCTCCTGAATAGGACAAAAGCCTATCTCACAGCCATAAATACTCCACTCCCAAGCAAACTACACCAAAGCACAGTGGTCTGTCCTCTGAAGATGCCAGCCACAGAGACTGGTGAAATGTTAGGAAGAACAACCTTCAGAACACGGCCAAAGAGCCTGAAAAACCCACAACAACCTTTGAATTTTTATTACTACACTCAAAAAAATTTCTCTTCAAGTATATCAAATCCATCTGAATCTTTTCTAACTCTATGCTTTGTAACTCTTTCCATTTAGCTTGAATCTCTAATTAGATTAGGCATCCTTCTGTCTTGAGAGACTATGGTAACGGGCTCTGTATGGAGGACTTGGAACAGCATCTAGTGAGGCTGAGAGGGCCAATTCGAGAGTGACAATCCCTTCCAAACTGAAGACAAATACAACCTGTCCCCTGTCCAGCTCCCTAATTTTGCTGGTTTCAGGACTGCCTCTTTGCCTCGGCCTGCCGGACAAGGGTCTCTTCAAAATGGGAGAGGCCATGCTGCACCGCCTGCCTCCAGGCTGAACACTCAGGATACCTCTCCATCTAATTTTGTTTGGGTTATGGTTTTCCCACAAATTAGTATCTATTTCTACTTCTTGTATCTCTAGCTTCAGTTCTGCTGAGGTCCATATCATGTCTATTCTGGAACAGGATTTGTGTCTGAGTAAAAAGTAAATTGTTATTTTTCCCTGTTCAATTCTCGTGATATATGTTTTTAACCCCAATTCTTTCACCATCTGAAAAATATTTTTGGTAGCTTCCTTCTTCTAGTTGTGGTCTTGTTTCCTTTCTTATAATCCAATCTTTCATCTGCTATTGCAATGAAATTGCCCAGTAGACAAACATATTGGGGTTCCTTTTCTGCTATTTCGGTATATAGTTTCTTATAAAAATTCTCCAGGTTATTATTGGATGCGTAGGTTGCCACTAATAGTGTTTTTTTCTGGTTTATTATGGTTTCCACCATTAATATTCTTCCTTCTTTAGCCCCATAAAGGGGATTTTTAAATATATAATAGCTGCCAGATTGTCGTAGAATTTGACCGGTTCCATTGATGAGTGGAGCTGCACGCATATGCACTAATGAGGGTGACCGGTTCCGTTGATGAGTGGAGCTGCAGAGACAGGGTTCTTTCACTCCCCACAGTAGGTGGAACAATAACCTGAACAGAGTATTTCTGACTGCAGAGCCAACACCATGTTCCCTGGTCTCATTCAATGGTTTTCCCTGCCAGAAAAATGATTTTTTTCTTTGACAGATCTCTCGTCTTTTGCAGGTCAACAATGTCTATCTGCAGTCTACTCACTTCCATGTTGATGACAGCAGTCTTGCACATGTCATCTATTTCCTGTAGGTCATCAGAAAAGTCAGGGGTCATTGTCTGAACATTCCAGGTGCCCAACTTTAGGACAGAAGTTTTCTTATGATTGTTGCTTTGAGCAGGGTTATTTTCAATGGTTTTCCCTGCCAGAAAAATGATTTTTTTCTTTGACAGATCTCTCGTCTTTTGCAGGTCAACAATGTCTATCTGCAGTCTACTGACTTCCATGTTGATGACAGCAGTCTTGCACATGTCATCTATTTCCTGTAGGTCATCAGAAAAGTCAGGGGTCATTGTCTGAACATTCCAGGTGCCCAACTTTAGGACAGAAGTTTTCTTATGATTGTTGCTTTGTGCAGGGTTATCTATCTGGTTGTTGGCTTTCACCCTAAACCCCACGCACCCCGTGAGGTTAACAGACCGTTCCAAGGCAGCACCTTACTGGCTGGGGACTGCCCAGCTTAAGGCGGGCCGTAGTTACCTAGTGAGGTGCAATGACCTCTCTGACCATTGGAAGTAGCCCCTGATGTCATGCTCTATCCCAATTGAGCAAAGACTTATAACCGGTAACTGCTACTTCCTGTGTTGGTTTGACGCTGTATGCGAAGCTGGAGTGTCCTCTCCAGAGCACGAAGCCTGGCTAAAATAATATGGAGGATAGGCTGTTACCCAAGCAGCAAATCCCCTCTCTCCATGTCGCTGAAATAGTCCAAGGGAAAGGCAAGAGCCAATACAACTGGTTCCAGCGACATCACAGAAGTTGCCAGAGCGACACGAACTGCCTCTGGATTTTGCCTCAAGGTTAACTCCTGAAACCTTGTCCATCAGTGGACGTGGCCACAAGGCAGTGGAGGTTTGAAATCGGAGTTTCCTTCTCCTAGATGGGTTGCCTTCCAAGGCTGATGAGCCCCACCTATTCTAATAGTTTCTTATTATTTTATTTATTAGATTTTTACCCCGCCCCTCTAGACAATGTCTACTCTGGGCGGCTTACATAGATAAAAACACATCAATATAACATATATAAAATCATTTACAAAATATTAGAAATCTCTAATAGTTTCTTATTATCTCTATCTATAAAATAGTTACATTCTAGATCTTTTAATGATTCTTCTATTTTCAAACATTTTTCTTCTCCCAATTTAAAAAAATTCTGCATGATTCCCTTATGTCAATTCCTCTTATAATAAATTTCATGGTATCCCATAACACTCCTATTTACTCCTACCTGCTTCATTTATTAATCATATTTCTATCCATTCTTTTTTTAGCCCTATCTATTACATCTATATACTGAAAAATATTGGAATCTATTCTCCATCTTCTGGCCTCTCTATAATCTCTCTTAACTTTCATCTCCATCGTCACCAATGCATGATCCATTATTTTATCACATTAATATCTGCATCTACTACTTCAGAAATTAAGTTTTGAGACATAAACATAAAATCTATTCTAGAATAAGTATTATGTACAGAGGTATAATAAGTAAATCTTTCACCTCCCTTCAATTCTCTCCATATATCTTTTAAATTTGGAGTTTTGATTATTTTACTCAATAGGGTACTTCTTTTATTCAATTCATCTCTTTTACATACAGTTTTATCCTTTACCTTGTCTAAAACCATATTAAAATCTCCTGCCATAATAACATATCCCTTTCTAACCTTCTACATCTCTTTAACAGTTTATAAAATTCTTGATTTACATTCAGTGCATAAACATTTACTAACATATAATCTTCTTCCCCCATTAGTCCCTGTATTATTAAATATTTACCATTACTATCTTTTATTACTTCTTTTACCACAATTTCACAATGTTTAGAGATCAATATTGCTACATCTTTGGATTTGGTAGTCCCAATTCCTTTTTCATAAATATATACGTATATTTTGAAGTTTCAGTTCATTAACTCCATCTTTTGATTGATGAGTCTCTTGTAAGGAAATAATGTCCACCTTATTCTTCTTCAATAATGTTTCTACTATTTTTCTTTTTGTTACAGACCGTAGGCCTTTCACTTTTAAAGTAGCCACCCTTATGTTTTTCCCCATATCCATTCTATATCCCATCTTTTTTTAGGTCCCGTAATGCACCCCACAAAACAAAAACGTGCAAAAACTAAATTTACGTAATACACTTTCCAAACCCCTATCCTTAGCCCGCCACCCTACAAATAACCTCATTTTCTTCCCCCTCTTCCCCGCGAGCTCTGGGGGGGGGGAGACGCCACCCCACCAGTCCGAACCCCAGCCAAATTCTCACTCCTACCCTACTTTTTTTCTTAATATCCTCCCCCTCTTTATTTTACTTATTTATTGTCCTTTTAGCATCTTTATCTCTTAATCTATCCTCTCTCTTCTCCCTCACCATAAAACAAAATAAAACAAACAAACAAAACAAACAAACAAAAAAGGGGTAGGGAGACAGCATAAGGGAGCTAAAAAAAGAGAAGGAAAAAAGGGGGATGACCTAAGGGAACTAGAAAAGGGAAGGAACAAAAAAAGAGGGGACACCAGAAGGGGGGATGGGGGAGTCATCAAACATCAGATGGTTCCTCTCAGCCCAGGTCTCTTCTCTCTTGTATTTCTACTCCTTACAGGCATACTTGCCTGCATCTTGGTCTTCTTGCCAAAGGCCCCACACAACTTGCCTTCTTCAAAGCAGATTTTGAAGAGGTCTTAATCTTTCCATATTTTTAAAAGAACTGGATGATCGCCTTTGTATCTCAGTACATTCTTGATTAGGATTGATGTAATGGGTTTCATCATTTTTTCCACTGGATTGATTCATTGAATCCTGATAAATTTGTATGGGATTTGACCTATAAACTAGTAGCTCCAGTTTTGTCTTGGTGACCTTAAGAAATTCTTTTTGACATAATTGAAAAATTTCAATATTCTAGGTTTTGGCATCTTGTTTCTGGGGCTCCCAAAAAAATGAATTATCTCTATATCTTCTTCAGATACATGCTTAGAGTTCATTATGGAATTTATCCAGGTCACCACTTCCTATTTAAGGTCAGCTCCCTTTTGCAGCTCACAGTTCATTATTTTGATGTTGTTACGTCTTGAGCTATCTTCCAAATAAATAATTTTCTTTTGCAAATCGTCCCTCCTCTGTTGTTGTATCTTTATTTTCCCTTCATTCTGTTTTCATAAATCTTCTGTTTGTTTTACTCTGTCCTCATTTTTTACCGTCCTTGCCTTCAGCTCTTCTATCTCCCCCTGGACTGTTTTCATGTCCTTCCCAATATGTTGACATCCTTTCATTATGCCATCCATTTTGAGAACCATTTGTTCCAGTTTTTTTATCTATCTTGTGTGGTATATCTTTGATTAGATCTTTCACACAAGCTGTTAGTTCAGCCATCTGTTTCTCCAGTTTTGCTTTTATGAAACTGCTCAAAAAGGTTCCCTCTACCCCCTCCTTTCCAGCACCTCCTTGAGTTTCTTTAGGAGTGGGGGATTCTGCCTCTGTTTGTCTACGATGTTCAAGACCATGGTCTGATGGTTCCATCTCTGATGGTTCCTGAGTCCCGTAAGGGGTTTTAAAACTCTTATCTTTTTTCCTTCTCATAAGCAGAACAAAAGAATAGCACAGAGAAGCAAAATAGTGTTTTATAGTTCATTAGCAGTTCAGCTTTCACTAGCGTTCTTCAGAGAGAAAACGAAAGTACATTCCACAGAGAAGCAGCGAAGATTTTAAAGTATAAGAAGCACTTCTATCTCTGCTTCAACTTTTCTCAAAGGATTTTAAGCAGGTTTACTCGTATTTTGAGAAGGGAGAAAGGCATTTAGCAGCTTAATTACATCCAGCAGGGTGGAGAGACGAAAACTTAGCTGTGTATTCCATCCTGGTGGAAGTGATGTCTCCCAAATGAGCTAATTTTAAAAAGTTGGTTTCAGCTAAAGAGAAGGGAGGATGGAAGAGGGAAGTTACTTTGGAGAAGAAACTATCTTCTTGGACAAGGTTTTGAGTATTTTGATAACTGATTGGTGCATCCCCTTGAAGAGTCTAGAAAGTGGAATGGTGGTGGGTATTGCTTAGTTTAATCTCTTTTAGGAGAATGCTATGCTCACCTACTATCTTGCTACCTGATTTGTATTCTGTGTATGCTCTGGAACTATGCTGAAGTTCTACCTTAACATGAGTATTAGCTTAGAATAATTAGCTGTCTCGTTTTCTTGTGGGAACTGTTCTGGAATTGTTCTTGCCTCAATATCTTTTGAATACTTATTTGCTCCACAATTTTGACTCCTTTTGGGATTTTTAATCAAACTTTTGAAATTATTTGAAATTTTATTCTCACTGTGTCTGAGTGGTTAGTGTGGGTCTCACTGACCCCACCATAATCTTGACACAGTCTAATCAGCTTCTGTCAATAGAAGAGCAGGGATTAAAATATCTTAGGTTCCTTGTTCCTTCGGACTAATATTCTTTGGAGTTAAAATGAAAATACAAGTCCAACCAGAGAAGACAAAAATACTAGGAAAAATAGAAACAACGGGAAATCAGGAAGGCCTGACATGAGGTGGACTGACAGCCTTTAGTTTGTAAGGACCTTCTGGAGATCATGAATTCATAGAGTTGCCAAAAGTCAAAAGCATTTGACAAAACATACATCACACTCCCCATCTTCTTGGAGATTCACTAGGAACTAAGCTGTTTTCTAAGTCACACCCCAATGACTCAAATATTTAAATTATGTGTAGAGTTTAGCACATATGGACAAGAAAGAAAAGACAAGGGAATAAAGGGAATACAAAAATAAAATTACCAGTTCTTCTGTCTCAGCTTCTGCCTCTGCAGACTCAGCACCTGCTTCTGCATTTTCTTCTGTATGTGTCACATTTTCTTTGGTAGTTTCAGATTGTTCAGTCTCCTGGCAACAAAAGAAATCATAGCATGGGTGACATTAGAAAGCCGGAGAAGCAAGAGGAGAAAACCAAAACAAACTGAAACTATACCTCATGTGTTCATCTAGTTAATTCTGTGTAACTATACTGACTGAATGCTTTGTTAATTATTCCTTTAATATTGGGACCCTCACAGTGTATACGCAGTTCAGAAACAGTATGAGAAATACAACTAAAAATAAAAGCAGCACTCTCCAAAACTTCAGAAGTAGCCAGAGGTTCACTTTGGGGTTTGTTTTCTTAATTTGGGAAGGTAGGCTTCCGAGTACCTGTTCTAGTATAGGATCAGAGGAAAAACCAACACATCTTTTCCCTTTAAAAAATTTGGGGACATGTAGTGGGGCATTGAGGAGGCCCCACAAAAGTGTCCATAGGGGTCACATCCAGTCCTTAGACCACAATACATCTTGCATCTATTTAATAGACTGAACTGCATATCTTAATTGTATATTCATTGCTACATGTGTAAAACAATTAACTCTGTATGATCCCATTGGGACCAATCAACACACAGAAGTGTCCTTTGTAGCATCTTAATGCCCAGTTTCTCTCCCAGGTAAAAACAAAGGAAATCGTTAATCTTGGAGGCTGGAAGATATGGAGTGGGATGGTTTTTCATAACAACAAATTGTTGGCTAGCCATAGTCTGTTATGGATTTTCTTAAACACATTGGCTAATATATTCGCGAAGGCTTTCACGGCCGGGATCTAATGGTTGTTGTGGGTTTTTCGGGCTCTTTGGCCATGTTCTGAAGGTTGTTCTTCCT